CATAGTTTGAATATGTGTGTTCCATTGAATATATGGTTTGTTGGCATTTTATCTTATATTACAATCGATGCCGTTTTTCCACTACCTTTGACTGCTACAGTGCAAGTCTTAATCGCTTTTAATCACTTTTCGAATGGTTGTGTTAATTTCTATTCAATTGAACCAAAAGCATAATAGCGCTCAAGTGTGTAACGTACGTTAAATATTTCGAACCATAATAGCTGCTACAGTAGAATTCAGAGCGCCAAAATGTGACAGAAGAGTGTTAATAACTATGTCGCCAAAATTTCATTCAGTTTGTATGCGCAAAATGAGCACAAAATGATGAGTGTAAAAAGTCAAGTGTTCGCATGGCTTTTTATGAAACGAAAAAAAAAACAAATATTGAAAACGAAAGCACATTTTCGTATACACAGAATAATTTTTAACGCACGAGAATTGAAATGAATGTATCACCAAGATAGCTTTTGATTTGCGCACACACACAGAATCATGGAGCCATGTGCTTTTTGCCCCTAATATAGAAGCGAAATTAGTTTCCAAAACTCAACGATACACATTTACGCATCACTTTTGGAATTGGTTTGATGGATGAATTAGTTTATGTTACCAACAAAAAAAATCAACAAAAACTTCCGAAGATAATAGAAAATTCAACACAACACTTTTGAATAGCATCATGATATTGAAACCAATAATAATTTCGTTGTAACGCCCGAATTTTACTAAACGATGTTTACGTATGATATTGCTGTTTCTCTTCTTTACTCCATAAATCAAAATGATTTTTTTTTTTTTTTAAATTTTTAAATCCCATTTTGAAATATTTGTAAACAAAAATTAAAATTCAAACCTTCAAATACTGGATGAACGATTTGGTTGGGTGAGTATTGTTGGCGTGTTCTTATTATGAGCCTGGGATGCAAGAAATGTGTGTTCGAGTGGCGAACAAAAATACCGAAAGAAAACTTAAAAAGATAGAGAGAGAGCAAAACAGAACATGTAAGTTCAAACTATGCTATGCTACTAACAAGCGCCATGAAATACAAAATAGATCACACAAAGCATGCGAAGCGATTTTCTGCTGCTGTTGTACTGTGTGTGCGCTTTTTTCTGTCTATTTACTTTTTTTTACGTACAAAGCGTTCTCGTCATCTTTGGTTCAGGCCCAAGAGTTGCGTGTGCGTGTGTTTGTATCGATATATGCATGTGTATGTATGACACAGCCAAAGTAGCGTACGATGAATACATTTTATCCACAATTGTTAATGTAGTGATATGCTTGCCTGTTCGTGTATATATCTGTGAAAGCGTAGTAAGCTTTTCGACATAGCATAAGGGGTTGCTTTTATATTAACAATCTGAAAAATGGTGCTTTTCCTTTTCTAATTGACTTTCGTTTTTCTTTCTGTTTCACATTTTGTGCGCAATTTCCCCTTGACCGTATGAATTCTCTTCCGACATAGATGCCGACGGATGGATTGACTGAATGTCACATTGATTGAAGACCATATACGTCCACCAAATTTGAAGCAATGATTGTTTTCACTTGTCACATTCGTATTCGAAATCAATTGTTTTTTTTGGCATGCTCACAAATTTATTTCAAACTCTGGTTGATTTCAATTTAATTGATATTTTCTTCATAACACTAGCTGATTGGCGACTGATTCTTGTTAGCGGGCTTGCGCACACATCTTTTTGCACTCAAATTCAAACAAACAAAAAGAAAAAGAAAGAAAAAGGACACTAACAAGTTTGACGTTATCCCAAAGGAGATACCCACCATATTGGCTTGTACGCATGTATATTGTATACGAATATATTACACAGAATTGTTCTCTCTTCATATTCGAATGAAATAACTATGCTCCGGTTCCAAAGCAAAATCTTTGCGCCAATTCAAAGTGGCATCGTCGATTTCATGCCCATGTGTCATTGCCAATTATCTCTATTAATGTTTAACAAGAGCTCCAAAGGACTTTGAAAATTCACACCAATTGAACAATGAACGGCATTTTGTACCATATGCATGCACAAATATGGTCAGAGTTCCCTTCTATTAAAATTTTAAACTATGCCTATAAAAAAAGTAAGTAATATAAATGCATTTTTTTGGTAGCGGCTATAAAATTCCGAATAGATTCGTTGGAGTAGTATTTATTTCATCCGGTGTGTTTTGTTCATGACTCAAACTTTTATATGCAACAAAGCACAAAAGGGCTTCAAACTCACAAACAAATTCAAAGAAGTACTGTTCAAGTGGTCTGTATGCAGTATATTAGTATCAGACGATAGAAGATTTACAAATTCCAAGAAATCTTTCACAAGTGAATGTGCCATTGTATATCATTTGTCTCATTGTTCACTGGAACGCCCTTTTGCAAAGAGTCAATTTTTCTATCAACCAAAACTCTTGAGCTTTGCATATTGATTAAATTTCATTTTATTAAAGAGTTTATGATTTTCTCTTCAAATTTACATGCAAATTCCATAATTCAGTTAATAAAAAGTGTCTGCATAAATTCAATGGTCACATTATTGCTGAAAACCTGCATTCATAATGCTTCATATATAGCAATATATCATATGCTGATGTGTGTCTGTGTTTGGATACAATTCAACAATAAATCTGTTTGTTGGAAATTCCCCAAAGTAGAATAAAATGCCATAATTGTTGTTTTATGAAACTCTTAAGTGCATCGCCTTTTGTTGTGATGCGATTAGATTGTGCTGACAAATTTATTACATCTCTTCGTAAAAACTTCTTTTATGAAGTGTTCCATTTTCAATTTAAATCTTTTTTCGAAATTGATTCAAAAGATATAATTCTTAGAGGCAATAAATAATATTGCAAGATAAATTACAACGCATATCATCCATACCGCTTTTTGATCAATGATAACTCAGTTTCTTCTCAAATTTGATTTTTCTACGTCATTGCTGGTGGCGGTAGACCCTTCGAAACATGATTGACTAATCAAATGATTCTGTCTCGTCTGTTTTTATGGTGGTGACATCATTTGTTTCAAATGCATACTGCATATCTATGTGGGACTGAACATGTTAATTCATTTATGACATTCAGTCTCCAGTTCTTGTGCATCGATTTTATAGATTGCAAATTCAACCACATTTTCCCGACCCGAATGATGTTCCCGAATTAAAATTCCGTGCTGCGAAAAGCCAACATCAAATTGATGAGACGTGCACATTGTTATTACATACAAATTTATACGAGACGTTAAGAAAATGCCCAAACCGGGTTTTAGTTCATGTCAATATGCTTCATATGTCATTGTTTTAATAGTTTATTTCGAACTTTGCACATGAAATCGTATTTTTCGTCGTTGTTAGTATATTGAATGCAAATACCAATCGATGGGTATGTATATGTATTTTTATGCGTTTTTATAATAGTGAATGGAAGTGAGTTTTTTCGAAATTGATCTTGGCTTGTTAGTAAGATATGCCATTGAACTTGCAGAAATCAGATAAATAATGTTTCAATTTATCTGGTTTTGGATTCGTTTCACTACACTGAACATGTAGCGTTTTCTTTTTCCTTCATCTCATATTTTTTCTACCATGAATAATGTGTTCGTATGATGAACTCAAACATCGTATACAAGCTGTAATAGTCCATGTTGTAATGGAAGTATTCTCATAAGAACTCCAACGGAATGTACTGTAACTTTGACATGAGATTTGCTTGCGATTGTGCTCACCCCGAATTTCATCCACAACGCAATTTATGGCGACAAGTGAGAAAATAACCACAAATGGCGAAACATAACAATAAAATTCAAATTCCATCATCGCAAGTATGATTATCGAAAGTATGTTGAACAATATTCGCGATTATAATATCTTTCTATCGTTCTTATGTCACGTAAATTAATGCAATATAAAAACACAAATTCATCCAGTATTTATGTATATACTGCATTTGAGTGATCGCTAAAGCTGCGTGATTTTCCGCGATCTTATCTTTTTGGGTGTCTCTACTTTTGCCGAAACGAAGATGAAGCAGCCGAACACTATGATATTTTGCCCTTAATCCAAATGCTGAGATTCATTCATTCAATTCATATTATAAATGTGATTTTTCGCCTTTTTTCAATTAATTTCATTATCTTCTCTTCATTTTCAGTTAACACAAACCCTTTAAGCAATTCTAAAATGTATGTTGTTTGATTCGGTTTCAGATTCAAAATGAAGATGAATATCTTTAACCAATTCATACAAATCAAATTGATTTGGGGTGTAAGGATACCGGAATTCACAACGATAAATTATGTTCATGAGTCAACCACCTTTTTCTTTGGTGCTGTGAAATAATTGCAAACGACAACAACGCTTTTCCAGCGACTTGATTTATGTTTGATGTCTTTTTTGCCAGTGCAGTAGAATGACATGTACAAATTTAACGAAAGAAAGAACAGACGGAGAGGAGTAAAAAAATGAAGAAAAAAAGCGAATTCTATTCAATGAACTTGGAAAAATGTGTTTGCATTTGATTCATTTCCAATTAAAATTCATTGAAGCGACAATTCCAAACGCAGAATAAGAAATCGATTGAATGACAATCGCATCAGGATTGTATAATCAACTTGGCCATGTAGAGAGTTATGTTCTTTATGCTTGCAATCAAGCACCGAAGCATTCTCTTTTTTTTTCGCATTCACTCGAACAATTGGTATTCTAAAATCAATTTGAATTCAATTTTGCGGTGTGCAAACAAATCTTAAATTAAATATTTGAAATGAATTTTCAGATATGCAAATTGATGGTTTTTCCGTTTGTGTTTTCATTTTGGTAAACCAAAATATTTTTATGATAACATGTGCAAAAATTTCCAAATTTGCAGATAAAAAACATAAAATTTATTCGATTAAATCAAATATTCAAGATTAGAAAATTGTGCATTTAAACTTCATCAAAAAAAGTCATATTATTTAACATAAAAAGAAATAAAAAGAAATAAAAAGAAAACTTACCGATCAAATATGCGGGCCTCTTTCAAAACATTTCCCAAATTGATGTATGCATCCAAAAAGTTTGGATCTAATGTGACCGCCTTTTCAAAATGATGAATTGCCAACCAAATTTCGCCTTGTGCATTAAACACACATCCCAAGTTACTCCATGCAACGGCGAAATCCGGACGTGTTTCAATTGCTTTCAAGTAACACGCCTTTTGTTTGTTTTTTTTTTTTTAATTTTTGTGCGTATATTTCGTTTAACGTTCAAAATAAAAAATAAAAAGTTGAAACAATTTGCAAAGCAAATCGATTGGCATGAACGAAATGGGAAAAAAAACGAAAAGAAATGCGTTAGTTACTGAAATAATGGAATGTAAATTAATAGAAAGATATCAAAATTTTATAAGCAATTTAAATATGTTTGCATTAAGGTGAATTTTTTTAGAAGAGAAAAAATTGCGCTTTATTTATCCATTATTGAAATCAAATGAATCTTTGATTTCGTGCTTCTGTCTTTTTGGTTTTCGTAATTTTTAATCGGTGTTGATGTATTTTTGTTGTCATTGTTTGGAAATATATTTCACTTCATTTTTTTTGCATTTTTTTGCTTCACACAAATCAATAAAAAACAATTTTACAGAGCCTAGCAAAACGAAACAAAAAAATGTTATAAAAGCAACCTAAATGCTGTATCTGGTATATATTTTTTCGAAAGTATGTTCATCTCTCTTTTTTTTGCCATTTTACGTTTTTTAAGGAAATATCGATTTTCACTTCGACCAAAGTGGCTTGAAATAGTATTTAAAAAAATGGGCAATCACAGATTGAACGCTTTCAATAGAATATATTTTGTTAAATTATTATATAACAAAGAAAAAATATTGTTATTACGCGCAAAAAAGTAGTTATCATATTATGAACTTGGAAACTTCGCCTTCAGTAAGACGAATAAATCAAAATAAATTGATAACTACTTGCAAAAAAAATTGGTAAAGAGAACGCTGAATCCTATTTAATCATGTGTTTGACGCCAAAAAATAACAATTTGCTGCAAAAAAAGGTGAAAATTACGCATAAAATACCACACCAACAGCGCCGTCTTTTTTTCATGGTTTAGCCAAAGTTTGATTGTCTGATGACACAACATAATATAATATCTATTTGAACTTTGCATTTTTTTTAAATAAAAGTTATTCGCGTCACGTCTTTCAATCAAAGTGGATGGCTTCGGTTTCGATTCGATTCAGATTTAATTTCAGCAACTTCAAGTGACAGCATACTGATCCGTAACATCAGTTTTTTCTTTCATCCAATGGGAATGATAATATAAAATAAATCACATTTAGAATCCAAATCAAATCGAAACACGTTTCATAATGTAAAAATTAAAAAAAAAAATGGCGAATATAGTTGAGTGTGATATGCCAATTTACGCCAACAATAAATCCTTAAATTAAAGATACAATAAATCGTCAATAAATTCTTTACTTCCAGGTTTAACGACTTCAATTGACATGTTTGATCTGATAAATCAGCGTGCAGCGGTCCATATATGTGGAATTTATTTATGAAATGAAACGATAGGAAATGACGTGGTTTTTTTTTGTGACTGAGCCGTTTTCTTTCCAAGATTTTGTCATGTTAAATCTCACGGAAAAGGTTTTTTTTCAACACAGGAGTTCCATTGAAATTTGAAATACAATTTAGAAACATTTATTTTGAATTTTGATATATTCAGTCGTGATAATTGAACGCACACATGTAAGTGTGAAACAATAAATAAATTGACAACAAAATTCCGGTAGAAATACACGCACCTTTTCTCATGAACAAAATGTCTAATAATTTCTTTTTATATAACTTAATATATTTTTGGTATGTTTTGGAAACGAATTTATTTTTACTATCTATATTTTTTTTTTAAATTTGAATTGGTTTTGTGAAAAAGTTGTTCATCCACGTTACTTTACCTGAATTGGTACACACTATTGAATATATTAAACGGCTCTATTTTCTATTTATTTATAAATCCAGGGATGTTTTCAAATGCAATGGCATTATTGTGTGATTGTTTGACGGAAATCATTCGTTTCGGTATTGGCATTTGGTGGTTTCATTTACTTTTTTTTGCATTTATCAAATGTGTAAAAGTTGTTCAATGTGGCGCCACTTTTGCAACTCATATACGTTTTTAAATTTGTTTCATTTCGAATTATGTGTATTTTGTTTTATAAAAAGAAAGATCAGTCATTTAATAATTTTTTTTCTATCCCTATTAAATGTATGTGTCGAGTGTGATCCACTGAAATCATTTTATTTAAAGAATAATATTAAATTTGATAAGTGAGAGAGGATAAAATATATATTTTTTTTGCTGAAAAAAGATATCAATTTTTTTCGATAAAAAAACGTGAAAAATAAATTGCAATATCGATCTACAGTCATTCAAACTTCAGCATAAGGTCTGATACATAAATTGTATATGCAAGTATATTGTGAAATAGAGTGCATGTCTTGTATTTTTTTCGGTATCAGATCTTATGTGCAACTCAAGCACATCGAATATGTCTGTCAAAACTCGAACTGTGTACGGCGGCAAAATCATCAATTTAATTCTTTGGTTTTTTTCAACAATTAATTTCTTGCAATTCAGTCATTTTGGTTAATATTATTTGTTTGATTGTAATGACATTGAAGATTTGTCCATCGTAGCCAATATTTCCAATTCGATAGGCATTAATTTTTGTTTTCCACGAAATCGTTCGGGACCGAATTCATCTCTTAATATTTGTTTAATGAACGAAAAATGCAATGAGGTCCCTGCGCATAAACATCCCTAAGCCAACATTTCAAGTGATGAAAAAGACATAAATGAATTGGATGCACATTTTGTGATTTCATCCAAGTATCATCATCATCTTTTTCTTTATTCCACCGAACATTTTGTGTCATTGATGTGAAGAAAAGTAATTAATAACGCCAACGTTCATTGATATTTACGCAAAAAAATCTAATTGCAAAACTACGCACAATAAATTTAACCAGTATAAATCAATTTGAAAGAATATACCAATATATAACTCTTTAACCTTTTTATCTTGAATTACAAATGTTCGAACATTTTCAACAAAACCCAATAGACAAACGATATATGTATTTCAAATAAGATTCAATTGGTTAAACGAGTGAAATCCCTGCGCATCAGTGTTAAACAACAACAAAATCTTGTTAAATTACGCATATTGACATTTGATTGAATGAAAATAGCAAAAAATCATATGAGCAACTAACATCGACTTCGTTTTATGTTTCAAACAAAAATTATCGCCGGATGATTTTATTTGTTGTTGTTGTTTTTTTGTAGAATGTGGACATTGACGAGAGTTGATCCAACAGACACATTCGACAGTTCAACAATCATGCACCACAAAGCAATTGTCGAATCAATTAAAATGGTCATAATCACACTGTGACTTGAAAGTCCGTAATCTAAAAATGATGTTTTTTTTTTCTCGCAACAAGAATTAAAACGATTGACCTCATTGCAATTGATATGAAGCAATCACAGGCCTGACTGATTGAATTCATTCGACAATATGTTCGCTATATTTTTGGTTTAATTTTTTGTTGTTTTATAAAATTCAATATAATTTCGAATGTCTTTTGATGTTCATACCTTTGCCTCGTCCAATCTACCTAATGCTTTTAGTAAATTTCCCAGATCACTGCGAACGCAATATAAATCCTGACACAATGAAAAACAAGAGAAATGTCGATTATTGACGGGCTTGTATTGTTGATGAAAAATCGTTTATTCTTACCGGATTGTACTGCAGGGCAGTAACATATGCTTGTACGGCCTGTTCCATGTCTCGGGCTGCAACTAATGCAGCAGCCAAATTAATGTAGCCATCGATAAAATCCGGCTTTAGACGAACGGCATGTCTATAATTTTCCAATGCTTCTTGTAATTGTCCACGTTCTTTGTACACATTGCCCAAATTGCTGAATTTCCACAAATAAAAACAGTACATACAATTAGCATGCATTCAATTTTAAATCAAAACGATTTCAACCAAGAAATATATTTCAATTGTAAATAAATGCCGAAATTTAATCCGAATGATGGTAGTAATAGAATTTAATTATTTTTCTCTGTTGTTTAATTTACAAAACAAAAGGGAAACCTTTCGAATGTGATATGATTATAATTTTATTCACATTTCACATTGGTAAAGTTTCCGCTCTGTGTGTCAATTTTGTGATATAATTTTTGGATTTTCGCATATAATTTTGATTGTGAATATCTTTGATCGATGTTGCGTCTGTTTTTCTTGCCAAAATGTAATCAATCGTAATGCTTGAATGTGGGAATGAAATATGAATGGGCACCAAGATTCTGCAAGATTTACCTATACGCTTCTGCCAGAAGTGGATTTTGTTTGATAGCCAATGTTGAAAAATGTGCGGATTTGTCAAATCGTCGACACTGGAAGTGAATTGATGACAGAAGCAATAAAACACCAGTGTTGCTGCTATCTTGTCGCCATAGTTGCATACAATGTCGTTCAGCATTTTCGTAGTCCACTGCTTGGTATTCTCGATGGGCGAGTTCCAGTAGGCCTAGATTTAGAATAAAAAAATATTTCATTATTTTCCACTTTTTTTTGATATTTATATTAAATGTTAATCGCATTTTCTTTGTATCGTCCATTTGAATCACACAATCATTTCGAATTACGTACATACAAACACATTTTGTTTATCAATAAAAGAAATTTTCCACTCATTTATTTCGTGTACGAAATGAAACCAATTCAAGACGATTAAATATCACACACGATGTTACAAAAACATTGAAGAGTTTTTCTAGATGGCCTTGACATTCATCTATTCATTCTATGTGTTTTGAGCGAATTTTTGTTATGTGTCCGTACATCAGACGAAAAAAAAAAGAGAATAACATGTCAATAGAATAATCTGACATATTGTACCCAAATCATATATGAAGAACAATAATGGAATCGAGACACTCAGCAGGCTTCATATAGGAAATTCCATTTTATTTTATGCAAAGGATTTTGTCAATGCGTATATTAAAATAAAACACGTGAAGGTATGAATTTTGTTGACAATATACGAAACGATGGAGAGAAATGACGTAACAAATGTCGTACAAATAAAATGCCGACTTAAAACATACGTCTAATATGATATTTAAAAGAAGTGAAACATTGGAAAATTTCCATTGTTGTTTAAAGCGTAAACCAGATTCTGCGATTAGTATACTTTTAGGTAGAACCTCATATGTATTGAAATGAATAATATTTTCGAACAAATTATGTGATTCACGGGATTACTTGGATAGTTATCATAATCAAATCGTTAAGATCATTCTTTTTACTGTAGAAAATGTTTTAGTAATTAATAATTATTTTCGATGCATATGATAAATTAGATAATAATTAGTACTGTTTTGAAATTTATAAAATATTCATCATTAAACTTACCAACTGGTGTAATTTGTTGAATGCCATCAGTCATTTTGATAACAATGCTGGCTGGTTGTTGTAAAATTTGTTGATCTGTTTGCCGTATTACTGGCTGTTGTCCTTGCATGGTTTGCTATTTACTTATTTAGTCGCTAGTACCGCACTTTCTTTTTGTTGTTTCTTTTGTCTGACTTTAAGATCGAATTTAGTTATCTTTTGAACACCATACAATTATGTGTGCATTCGTGATATTAGAATAATCAAGACCAAAGAGGACAAGCTCTTGTTTTCACGTCAAAAATATTCACGTTTATGGCGTTTAAAATTCAGTACCTCGACTTATCCAGCCAACTAACTCCAGTTAAACACGCTTTCAGTTTGCACTTTGTTTTTTTTTTGTAGTTTGTCTCTTTGACTGACTTATTAATTTTATCGCATAAATTAATTCACATCGAAACCAAATCGAAATTTCATTCACGCGAATGGTTTTACACAGTAAATTGAATTGTAACTCGTCAATTTTAGTAATTGTAATGATGAACGTGTTAGCATTTATTTTGAGCTTGTGTGCAATTTTTTTTCCTTCAATGCCAAACGAAGACGGTAAACTTTTTTCTACTCTCTCTTTCTCTCTCTATCTCTATTTTATACGAATTTTCTTGTGTTGTTTTACATACATTGCCTCTTAGACTTCCTAGCTCTGTCTCTCTATTCACTAATATAGCCACTGTGTTTGCATGTATGAGTTTGATTTGTTTATGTGTTTGTTTTTTTGCTCGCTTACCTGCAGTAACGTAATAACGCTTGACAGTAATATGAATATATAAATTTCTATGTCTTTTTCAAGAATACCGAATATTTGGGATAAAAAATGAACTTTTTCGCATTGCTACATTTTTTATTATAAATCAATAAATTTTTACAATGAATATGATTTCCAAAATATCTCAATAAAACTTAAAAATGTCATCAATCATACGTAATTTCGATTCATACACGATTCCTTCATTACGTTTTTCCTTTCGTTTCTGTTGTACAATTTGGATTTACATGTGTATGTGTTTACTCAATTTATGAGAGGGTATGTGTTTACTTTGTCAGCGTATGTGAAATTTTTTGGTAATTTTCCTACACGCCAATTTGCGCCGGATATTCAGAACAGACGAAACTTCAAGATGGCCGCCAAAATCCATCACATTTGACATTTTCGGTTATTTGGCGCCAATTTCGAATAAATCTTCAAACATTCAATGATATTCTAGTTAATCAGTGTATGACATTTGAAATAAAATATTTCAATGTGATAGAGTGATTACAAAAAAAATTGTCATTTATTTAATACTTTGAATCAATGTCAATGAAAAACATCTCACAATTTATAAGATTCATTAGATTTTTAAAGTATGTAATTTTTGGAACGAACACCACTAGCGCCACACATTAATTGAATACTGTTTAGTTGTACTCTATTACCTCTCTGGCTGTTTCTTATATAACAGTGAACGCATACATACCGGCGGTATACATACACGTAACAATATTCGATAAATTGCGCATAGCACACAGTCAGAGAGGCTTTGAGCGAAATTCAATTTTATTTCGACATCATTCCAAGTTGAGCGATCGTTAGATGATCTGTACTTTATTGGCATTTCTCTCGTATATAGCAAAAATAATGGCCGGCAATCAAGAACGTACTTTTATCATGGTTAAACCAGACGGTGTCCAACGCGGACTCGTTGGAGAAATCATCAAGCGTTTCGAAGCTAAAGGCTTCAAATTGGTCGCATTGAAATTCGTTTGGGTAAGTTTTTATTCTCCATTTTCTTTTGTTAATTCCATTATGCCATTATGATATGAGTAAGAGATATGCCACATGGCATTTTATCTTTATTATGTTTTTATCAATAAAGCCATTTTATATATCTTAAATGAAATGTTCAAAAGCATTATTAAAAAGTGTGCAAAAAAAACGTGATTTTAAAAGGAAACAATTTTCACTTGTTAATCCGAAACAAAGATGATGAACCCAATTCTAACCCAACTTTTCGCCTTTTTTTGTTTTGTTTAGCCAACACAAGAATTATTGGAACAGCACTATGCTGACCTTTCCAGCCGTCCATTCTTCCCAGGATTGGTTAAATACATGAGCTCTGGCCCAGTCGTCCCAATGGTTTGGGAAGGTTTGAATGTTGTCAAGACGGGTCGTCAAATGTTGGGAGCAACCAACCCAGCTGATTCATTACCAGGTAATTCATACATTTTATTATTAATATCAATTTATTGGAATTTGAATGGAACATTAATTAATAACATGAAATTGACAGGTACCATTCGTGGTGATTTGTGCATTCAAGTTGGCCGAAACATCATTCACGGTTCAGACGCCGTTGAATCAGCCAACAAAGAAATCGCTTTGTGGTTCCCAAATGAAAAAGACGTCGTTTCATGGACACCAGCTAACAAAGACTGGATTTACGAATAAATTCCACATCAAAAACAAACATTTCTAACATTCATCGATTGATTCCTGTGAGCTTTGCGAGAAACTAACGGAATAAAAAGCAACATTTTGAGAAAATTTGATATTTTCAAGATGAAAGTGGATTTAATTTCAATTGTAATATTTTTGATTTGATTTCAATTGTAAAATGAATTCAACATTTTGTTTCCTTTTTTGAAAAATGCTCTGATAAAGTACTAAAATAAACAGCTCATTGAGACAAAACTTATTTGAAAAACAAAACAAGAATTTCTTTTTATTTCAAATAACAGCATTTTTGTAATCTAATTCCAATTCACTTTTGACCTTATGTCGATCGATCGAAAGTCATGCGAATGCTGAACAACAGTTAAATAATGCGATGACGCTAAAGTAGAAAAAAGCAAAGAGACCGATGCAATATTTGTAACATAAAGACAAACAATTAGCTATTACGCCAAACCAATCGAATGTCATAATTTACTCTACTCTATTTGTCTTTGCTGCAATTATTTCTACATTAATATTGTGTCGTTTCTGACTGAGAAAGGATAATCAATCAAACAAAATCTATTTTGGTTTCTCATTCGAATGTTCTTTGTTTTTGTCGATTTTGGAAATAACCTCAAATAATCGTATTCAAGCAAACAACAAAACAAAAGAAAGAACCGCTTATTTCCAACCATAATTTTGAACTTCTCAATGTTAAATATAGTATTTTGAAAACGATCAAAATGTAAATGTATTTTAAAATCTCGAAAATAGCGTAATATAGATAGAAGTTTCATTAACACAATAAAATCTATTGTGGTTTATTGCCGGTATTTACAGAAATTCAAAATAAAAGATGTTATTGTTGTTTCAGAAGACATATAAACTACACTTTCAATAAGCTTGCAACTCGATTGACAAATGTTTCAAACTCAGAAAAATTAGATAAATGAATAGGAAGACTACATGATTGAGAAAAGAGATCCAATTGAATTATTAAACAGAGGTGACACTGAAAATCGTCCAATAGAGGATGCTGTTCGTGAAATGCACTTAAACTGTCAACTGTCAAAGCATGCGATATTTATAACAACAAGAAGCTATTTTACAGTTGTTGTTTTGATACTTTATTAACGTTGCCATCGATTGACAGTATAAAAAGACAGTAAATTCAAAATGAATAGCTGCCAAACTAACACAGTAGATGAAGAATTTCAAAAATAATACACAGAGAATTTGTCTGCTATGAAAATACATATCATTTTGTGTTTTTTTCTCAATTAAAAAGTGACCTAAACTAAATGAACTAATTTATAATTTGATCCAGTTCAATTTTAGAAAAAAAAATAAAACTCTTTGTAAAACAATGATATTTTGTGCATATTTTATATTGAGTATCTGAATGAGAGATAAAAAAATGGACGAAGAAGACTTTTGGGCGAAGTAATTGTGGTAATTCGTAGTCAAGTCTTGAATACAGAGATTCCCTGGTAAACAGCTTTTGATGGGCCGCCCATCATGGGCGCATTGAAATGTGCGGGAAATATGTTCGGCAAACTACGGACGTCACTTTTGTCACCCAAAACTACTGTGAACTTTTTGAGTAAAACATCTTAAAATTCGTAAAAAGATATACTTTGTTGACACATTTTTCGACAGATATGACAATCATAGACGAACTGCTTCATTTGGAGGCGCATTCATTGAAAGCATTTGAAAAGGGCCAACAAGTGTTCTATTATTTCAATTTGGGGTCTAGAAACGGGCCAACCATTGGGCAGAGTTAATTTGGTTACCGGCTATCTAATAATTAATTGCGTACGACATTGCATTTTCACGTGTCGGTGGTGCACGTGTTTGCATCGGTTGATTCCGATGATTTAGTGCGAATATTTGATTTACGCCTTGGAACATTCAACAATTATTTATGAAGATGATCTTCTGTGTGGAACCGCCTGAGTACGACAGTGTCATTTGGGATTATCTGTGGTAAAACAGCTTTACCAGGAATTTATACCAGAGCTGCTTATGAAGTAGAAAGATCTGGGTTATTTGACTCGTCAGGGTTCTCAAAAGTGGATTTTAAATCAAAATAAAAAATTAAATCAATTGATTTGATTTGAATGGTCGTGCACATCTTAAATAAAATCAAACGATCTATTTGATTTGAACAATGCATATCAAATCAATTGATTTCACTTTTTATATTTAATCGGAAAAAAATATTCAAATCAAAAGTCACTTTTTCTCCAAGGGGGGGAGTATTGGTTTCAAAAATCAGAAAAATTGCTGTATCAAATTTTTACGAAACGTGATTGGTAAAGCCAAGAGAACGGTAGAGGATCGTGAATTTGAAATGAATATGTTAACATTTTCAACTACTTACCTGCTGAAATGTTCCAAAAAAATACAATAAAATCAAAGATACGGCCTTTTTTAAGGAACTACATATTTGCATGGAACCGAACAACAAAATAAGATTTATAAAAAATAAAGTATAGTATTTTTCGGTATAATTTTGCAGCTTTTTATTTCGCTCCTTATTTGAGTTTTAATTTAAGAATATAAATAAAAAAAATATAGAAATAAAAGTGTTTCCTTTTTCAGCATCCAAAGGTATTTTTTATTTGACATCACATAACGGTTGGGAATAAATTTCGAAAATCCCAATGAATTTTTGATATCGTGAAATAAAGAAAATTTTCGATTATTCGGATATAGCAGTCAATATCTGAGGTCAATGTGCATTCTTTATAAAAACAAAACGAATGTTCGGGGTACAAAGGCTAACCCCAATTTAGAAAACTCTGTTGCAAAAAAACAAGCTTCCTAATACAATATTGAAAAATCTTCCAACAACAGTAAACGTAAATTTGCGGATCCTTGATCAACGGGACAAACACGAAAGTTCAACGTACAACGAAAAATTTACAATACTTCGAAAAAACCTTTGCGGTGATAAGGCATACATAAATCCTTTTCAATGATCAAGCCCATAAGAGGACAGAGCTAACAAACTATATGGAGATTCTATAATCGGTAACGGTTATCGAATAAAATAATGAAATACATAATTTCGAAACGGTCTCTCTGATGCCAAAATTATGCATATGATCTGAAAGAAGAATAAAACGCTTGACATGAAGACAAAACAGCAGTGGACCAATCCAATAGTTCAATAGATTCGTGCCGGTGGTAATACAACAGTTCCCAGAAGTTTATACCAGAGTTGCTTATTATTTAGACTGGATCGAACCGATCATATGGCCAAATTAATTTTAATACCAGAAGTAGCAGGTATTGAAGTAGTAAAAACTTGATTTTTTGGACAAAACGAAAATCCAAAATAAGAGACGATAAAAAAACTATAAAATTGTTACCATTTCCTTCACGTATAGATGGCGATACAAAGATTATGCACAATTTTAATGTAAAATTGTGTTCTGTTGAATATGTGTAAAATATGCACCATCTATATGTGATTTTTTTAAAATAATTTTATCGCTTCGTTTTTTCTTTGCTAATTTTTTTTAATTAGGTATAAAATTAAAGTTGATGTAATGAGTTAGCCTCATTTTTCAAAATCAAAATCATCTGAGGTGCTGAATAAGAGTACCAGCGAATGAAATGAAACAGTTTCAGCGCTGAAAAAGTGTAAGCGATTGGCAAATGTACGCAAGCGAATGATACATACGCAGATATTAACACATACACACATATATACATGCATGTATACAAGCGCGAGCGAAACGTTAATGTGAAAGCATTATGAATTATTCCAATAGGTTCAAAATATATATCAGTATTGAATTTGTTTGGCTTTTGTATTTTTCAGCAATTCGGTTTATCGTTTTTTTTTTTGCGTCTATCGCAAATCGAGTAGACAGTGAGGAAAAATTTGATTGTAAGTGGTAAATATGCATAATAAAAATAATTTAGCTGGATTCATTTTGGTGAACGAATATTAAACATCAACGACAAACGAGCAAGCTATCCATAGCACATTCAATTTGAATCATGGCTGAAACATCGAAAATGAATTCAAAATAGTGGTTTTAAATTGGATTTTAGGATTGAAACAATTATTTTTGGTCGTAGAAATTATTTTAGTTGCACAACGTGGATACGAGAAAAGTGATTTAAAATATATTTGGACTTAATATATGTAATTTTTTGGCATAAGCCATTTCAAAATTTTGAATATTTGAATTTGATATGTCGACAAATGGCTGGTATGCTGCTTGCTGTTGATAAAAATGATATTTGTTTTGAAGTCGTTTTACTATTTCTGGTTTATTCATTTCGATTTGCTGGCATTCATCTGAATATTTCATGTGTGAATAGAATTTTAAGATTTAATATCAAGTACGATTGGTTGATTAGGAAAAAATTGTATTGGAAATTATTTTTTATTTTTATTTTTTTGCGTCACCAGCATTGAACTGGCATTTGACATTTTGAAGTTGGCAACACTTTTTATTATAATTTGGTGTTGTGAGCATTTCGGTGCGAGTTAAATGTTTGAAAAAACAGACAAAAAACATTATAATTATTTATACTTCGAAAATTATAAGCAATTCATATTACAAATTTTTTTTTTTTTGCGAAACGAAAAATTGAAAGAAATTTTGTTGTAGTTTTCATAAAATTTATTGTCGCTATCGCTCAGTCAGTTATTTAAAAAGTAGTATGTGTGTTTGTATGTATGGATGACATTTCTTATTACATTTCGCTCTCTTTCTATCCCTTCATTTTTCTGTTTATTTCGGAAATGTTTAAAAATTTACATTAAGTTTGTTTAATTAAATGCCAAAATAATGACATTAAAATGAGTTTAATAATTTAAATTTTAATCGAATAAACTTTTTTTTCGAATTTATCTACAGTTTATATAGCAACTTATGCAGTGGTGGTTTATTGAATAAAATAACTGATATTGAGGTGTGTAAATAAATGATTTAATTTGCTGAAGAATAAACTGCAGAAAAAAAGAGTAAAAATGAGTTCAGACGACATTGAGTTCGAAAGTGGAACTTGTGAAGAGATGCAAGACAGTAAAGACGATACAACAACAAACAAGGACGATGATCAAACTTCGTCGACATCACAACAAGCACTAAAACAATTAAATCAACTAACCAGTAAAATAACTGCTTCGAGTGTGGCATCAACATCAGCTGGACCGACAACATCCAATAATGTACAAAAGATTGAATCCAAATTGGCGCTACCGAATGCGAAAATTGTTTACATAAAAAATGCAAACACAGGGACACAGCAAACAATTCGAATCGGTACTTCATTAATCGGCGGTACTCAATCATCGGCGGTAAGTGCAAATAATTCGAACAGCAATGCAAGCACCACCTCAAGTTCGTCAATACAAAAAGTACAATTATTGCAATTGAAAAATAAAACGATTGTCTCATCCGCATCCGCGCCGACAGTATCCACAAATAAAATAATGACTGTATTAAAAAGTGGAAATGCTCCGCCAAAGTTTATTATTTCGCCTTCGGGAACCGGTGCTGCAAAACTTGGTGCAAGCGGTTCGAATACACGAACGATTACTGTATCACAAGCACAGCAAATGGGCTTTATATTGCCATCAAATAAAACAAATACCACAACAGCCAGTACAAGTAGTGCTTCAACAACAGCAAAGACTCTCATTTTGCCCGCATCATCGTCAGGATCGGCCAATATCACACTGAAAAATCAACCAACAATTTTAAACAAAGGTGTTAAACCAATACAATCATCGCAAAAATTATTAATACAATCAGCGGACAATAGTACTGATAGTAATGAGTCAAAATTGAAATCACCAGGAACGTCGAATATTGTTAAAGTGGCTGGCACCGGTCAACAAGTAAGAGTTCTTCAAGGGAAAAGTTTGCAATATATTCGCATGGTATGCGCATCGGGGAATTCCAATAGCACAACCACAACAGCAACAACAAATAAAATTGTAAACGGTCGCCAACAACAAGTAATTGTACAACGGACCGCACAGGTCACGGCCGGCGGTAAGCCGGCTTTCGTTACAAAAAAACTTGAAGTCATGCCGATTGCATCAACAACAAAAATTATCAAAAAGGAACCCACTTTGCAAGTCGTTAAACAACCACCAACTTATCTATTGAACAATGTGCAAAAGAATATTGTAACCTCATCCATTGACATAAAACCAGTCACGTCAAACCAGAGTGATTCATTTGAAATAACCGAATCAAAAGATGAACCATCGTCACCATCCAACAAAAAATTCACATCTCGCACATACAGCCTGAGCACCGACCGCAAATCCAAATCGCCTGAACCAAATCAATCGAATTTGATGTATTCAACATTGAAATTACCATCGCCGGAACCAATTGAAGGTAATATAAATTTAAATTTAATTTTAATATTTTAATCTGATCAATCAACTGAATAAATCAAATGTCAATTTTTCAAAAGGTATTCGTCGAAAACATTGCAACTGCACAAAATCACAATGCTTAAAATTGTACTGCGATTGCTTTGCAAATGGTGAATTTTGTTCGAATTGTAATTGCAAGGAATGCTTTAACACATTAGAAAAAGAGGATGAACGTCAAAAAGCCATCAAAATATGTTTAGAAAGAAATCCACATGCTTTCAAGTAAGTTAAAAATGATTTTCATTTGCTATTGATTGAGAATTATTGTCTAATTTATTTATTTTTAAATTCATAGGCCGAAAATTGGAAAAGCGCGCGATCAAAGTGATACGCTTCGTCGTCACACCAAAGGCTGTAATTGTAAGAGGTCAGGATGTTTGAAAAACTATTGTGAATGCTACGAAGCAAAAATTGTTTGTTCAGCCAACTGTAAATGTATTGGTAAGTTATGGTTCACACGAATTTTGATCGAATAATTTCTTGAATTTTATGTTAAAAATTATGCTTTCAATCCATCCAGGATGCCGAAATATTGACGACCACATGGATAATAATGATCATGATAATTCACATTATGAAATGAACCAAACGATAAAACGAACTTATGACCAACGGGACGATAAAATTAAAACCGAAGCAATTGTTCCGGCAAAAAAACCATGCAATTTCATAACACCTGATGTGATTGAGGCCACAATACAATGCATTATTGCACAAGCCGACGATTGCCTTAAAAATAATTGCGATGCTAAAACGTCAGAACGTAAAATTCTTGAAGAATTCGGACGTTGTCTGGTAGAAATCATTGAATTTTCCAAGAAAAACAATGAAAATGCTGATGACTGATGAACACACATAAAATATAAATTCAGGAACATGTTCTGTATGCAATACATCCTTTGAAAATAAGTGTCAGTCATATTGCATAGAATTTGAACTATGCATTCATTATCAAACATATTTTACATATATATTAGCATTTTGACTAAAATATTTAGATAATAATAAAAAATCAAATACATAAAGAAAATAGAGATATTTCTGAGTTGTTTAAACGGAAAAACACGCAAATTCAATGCTTTAGATTATTATTTTGAATTTAAAAACGTTTTTAGTGTTAATCGACAATCGAAGCTGGCATCTTGGAATGACTGACTGACCGATAGATAAAAATACCTTCTAATACACTTGTAATTTATTCATGAACATTTTCAATTTTAATAAAGAAAAAAAATAATGTTTTCAGTTCTTAAAGATCAGTTTGATACATATTAAGAACATAATAAAAGTAATTAGTGTATATTGTATGAAATTTTTTTTTGTATTTTGCAAACACAAAAGCGCATCTTTCATTTTTGAAATAATAATGAATATAATGTACTCGACAAGAGTATAAATTAATCAATTGTATTCGGACCAGGGTGTAAAATAAGGGTGAATCAAGCAGAAAATGTGAATCAAGACATTCGGTTTCGTGAATAAAGAATTCGTGAATCAAGAAAATTTCTTAAATTAAAAAATCAAAAAAAATTAAATTCGTGAATCGAACGAAAATGTCAAATTTGCAAAATCGTAACTTTGATTAATTTAATGAAAAGTTCAAAACCATTCAAATGGAACCGGGGGTAACTTCATTGGCATTACTTAACAGAATAATTGTATCCGTTGGAATAAAAGCGGGAATACAGAAGCGAACTTTAAACAACGCAGCTGAAATAAAGAGGCTTACGTACGCAAGCTGACTTTTCCGCATGGAACCGAAATTTTGGGAATAAACTGAAATTATGTTCTATGTATGGTTGCAGTAACTTAAATCACCGTGAAAACTTGTGAGTATTCCTCGTAGTGTCCAATCATCCCGTAAAGTCAGATTTTGAATTTCATGTCTGAGCACGAAACCATCGTGTCACCAAAATGGTTGAAAAATGATCAAAAAATGTATGGATGTGGCTACTCCATTCGGACCAAAAAAAATTAGTCTCCTAGTAGTCCCAAATCATCCTGCAAAGTCAGAATTTTGAGAAATTTCAACCAAAATTAAGGGTATCTCTCATACAAAATAAAATGTCTTACATCCGTAAGATGAACTTTTCCGCACTGTGATCCACAACACAAAACACGACGACAATGACAGCTGGGCAACGCAGCAACTTCATTATGGTTGCCACAGTTTATGTTGGTTGGCACAAATTCGTACCATTCTTGATTTAGGCGATCGAAATTTGTGCTATTTTTTAGTTTCGCTGGCAACCGCACCATGGCGCTACTGTCAACGTTGCTTTTCATCGTCGCGCTTTGCCACAACATGCATTTATTACGTTTCTTTTACCGTAAATATGA